TCGGATCAAAGCTTAAATCAGCTGCAATAGCTCTAATTTCTTAAGTAGTTTATAAAATCTAAAAATAAGCCAAAATTAGCATTGCAGCAGATAAAAGCTAAAATTAGCAAAACTGTTGATTGAATAAACTTAAAATGTTAATCATAAAAACTGTCATTGATAAAACATAAGCTAAAATTAGCTTGGAAAACCAAAAATTAGCTAAAAGCTAAAGTTAGCAAAACTAGAAATAAGTTCAGACTCATTAAAAGGTCTGATCTGATCACCTTTGTGACAGGCTGCTGGAAACAAAGTGACAAAACATAAAAATGTTTATTCATTTCTTTAAAAAAAACAACATAAATTCAACAAACAACAAATCATAAGTTAAATGAAAAGTAGCAGAAGAAGATAAAATCTTATTTTATCAGCCCCTTTTTCTCAAACATTAAATTCAATCAAAAATAATCTTTATTTTTAAAAAAAAGTACTTGAACAACAATTCATACATTTACATATTTCTCCAGCAAATTATTCTTTATCATTCTCTTAAATATACTCATTGATCCAGCACTTTTAATGTCATCTTCCAGATTATTCTATAATCTTATTCCCTGGACTGAAGTACTCCGTAAAATGTAAAATATGTTTCTTGTTTATGTTTCACCCTGTGGGTTTGGATGGTTTTGTTAGTTTTTTTCTACCTGGATGAGTTGAAATAATCTGATATTGGATGGTAGAAAAAAAAGAAAGTCTGGAAATTTACAGAAAGACTTTAAAAGACCAGAAGAAAGTTCGGTGATGACATTAAACATCTTTAAAGAGAATGAAGACAAAAGGCTGGGCGGGAGATGTTTGGAGGGGGTGAAGTTCATTTAAAGAGGCTCCACCTTTGCATCAGTCTGCTGCGTTTGGAAAAACAAAATGTTTCCTGGGTCACTGGGATCTCCGTGTTTCAGAGAAAGCGTCGGGGGTAAAGCTTGTCCAGTTCTCATTTGAAGATAATTTGTTGTTCATAGAGCAGGAATGTTTTCCATTGGCCGCTGGGGCCATCAATCTTCCAACCAGAGATTATTCAACTGTTCAGATGCCAGAACGCTCCTCTGGGATAAGAGGAGAGTTTCGCTTTGCGTGAAGGGGAAGAATTGAGACCAGAGCAGCAGATTGGATTCTGCGTTGTGCCTCTGGATTGTTTCTCAGTCTAATTCTTGTCAGAGTTCAGAGGTCTTATCATGATGGATCCGAGCACATTTATCAGCAAAACACTCCACAGAGGAGACAAAAGCATCTTCAGCATCATCAAAGCTGAGCGAGGATCTTTGTTACACCAAACAGGCAAAGTTTTGTTTGTAAAACACAGAGTAACATTTTAATATTACATCTTAATTTAACGTATTGTAAACAGCATTTAAACCCAAGTCCACTCCTTAGAATTTAATGTAAATCCCAAGCAAACAGCTAAAATATATAAAAGTAACAACTGGGATTTTGTTGCCAAAAATAATATCAATTCATGGTTTTAATGCCCCCAAGTAATGGTCTCTTCCACTTTTAAACACTGATTAAATGTTGGAGAACCAGGACTTCTTGGCCCTTTAACGTCCCTGGACTCGACTCAAGTCACATTTTGTGTGACAGTTTTTATTTAGTAGACTTCCCACAATCCTTTGCGTGGCAGGAAGCAACTGGGTGGATGACAATCTACCCATGGTTCTGACCTGCAGAACCACGCTCACCTGTGTAGTTTGTACCTCCTCTCCGAGGGTCACCGCAACAATAAATAATAATAATAAAGACAGAAACACACAACAGTTTAAATTCACGTTCTTGTTTTGAAATGAACAGGGTTCCTGTCCTGTAGCCTACCCAGAATGCATCGCTTCAGTTTTACCACAAACAGTTTAAAATTACTAATATATCTGCATGTTTTCTTACTGAAGCCCTGCCATAAACATAAGAAAATGACCAAGAAGCAGCAGAACTAGCAGTTCACAACTATTTTTTTTGTTTTAATACCATGATTTAAAACTCTGTTTCAACAAATCACCTCCCCAAACTGCGATGAAATGTGTTAATCTGTGAAAGGAAATGATGTTTCTAGTTGGCAGTAAAGTGCGGACTTGTCTCATTTATACTGGGATGTTTTCTGGTAAATAGAAATGAACTTGCACTTTATGTTTAGCTTCCGCTAAATTTTATTTGTTATATTCGCTTTTGAACTTGCGGATCTAAATAATTTGACTGGCGCATTAGAAATTGCGCAACTAAATTTTGAATTAGCGCTCTACAAGTAAGAAGTCACCAGGAAGCTCCGCCTCCTGTTCTGGTTGTAGAAACTATAGGAAACACAAGTAAACCTGCAGTCTGGGAACTGCCTGATTTTGATCTCAACTTTCATCCAAACCACATCGTTTTCCGTTAATCTTTTTTTACGCAGTCGACGTTACAACCTGAACTTGCGGCAGGTTTTTATTTTCGGGTTCGGGTCTTCAGGTCCAGGATGTTGCGACTCGTTTAAACGTCCACTCCGCTGGTTTTAGTTTCAGCCTCAGTCTGCGTCTCCCATTTCCCTGATTCTTGTTGACGGCCGAACAAAGTGGTCTGACACGGCGCTCCTCCTCATGACAAGCACTTTTAACACCACACTCCTCCCACCCGCCGCCTCCTCCCCTCCCTCTGCTCGTGTTCCTTGCAGAGTTGAAGAGTTGAATCGTGGGTCAGAAGTTCTTCGCTCGCAGAGAGCCAGACTAGATTTCCAGATGGTGAAGTCACCGTCGTCCTCTGTTCGTTTTAACATAAAGACTCAAACACACACGGCTCTGCGGCTGGGTCGGCTCCAAACGAAGAGCACCGTGGGACGAAACATGTCGAGTCGACACTTTCCTTACGAGGGGAAAAGCTGGCTTTTTGTGTCGCGTCCAAAAAAACAAGACTTTATTTCAGAGTTTTACAGAAGAAACTTGAGTAAAACAAGTTTTCACCTTCTGGCTTTTTGAGAAAACAAGACAACCAGTGTGTGACTGTGAAACACCGGGAGCATCGGTCAGAGGAAGAGATAACCTGAAACACTCAGATCAGCAGCAGTGGCATCGCTCAGGGACAACACACACACACACACACACACACACACACTGACTCACACAGTTCAAACAGGAAGGACAAAGCCGACATTAGTTACACTTTTCAACACAAAAATATAATGTTTTTAAACTCAGTTTAAACCTGATAAGTTCTTTATTTCTGTAAAAAGCTAAAATCTGTTAAAGAAGCTAAAACTGGGCTATTACACTTAGCAAAACAGAAGCTAAAGTTATCAGATCAAAGCTTAAATTATCTAGAACAGCTCAGTTTTCTAAAACAGTTGCTAAAAGCTAAAATTAAGCCAAAATTAGCATGGCAGTTTATAAAAGCTGAAAATGAGCAAAACTGTTAAATAAAACTACAATGAAAACAACAGCTGGAACTAGTAAAACATAAGCTAAAATTAGCTTAATAAACCTAAAATTAGCATGCAGTAGCTAAAAGCTAAAGTTAGCAAAACTTAAGATAAGTTCTGAATTAAAAAGCAAAAAGCTAAAATTAAAAACATAAATAAAAGCTTGAATTTTCAAAATGTTAGATAACCTTAACATTGGCAGAAAAAAATTAAATTACTAAAAAAGTTGCTAAAATTTATAAGTAGCAGAACAAAGCTAAAGTAAGAATATTAGTTCAAAGCAAAAGTAGCTAAACTATAGATAAAGGCTAAATTTAGCAGAACAAATGCTAAACTCTGCAAAATGGTAGCTAAAGGTTTGAATGATCTTAAAGCTTAAATTAGCTAAATAAAAGCAAAAATTAACTAAAACTAAGACTTAAAATGATCAGTACAAAAGCTAAAATTAGCATAACCGTAGCTACAGGCTTAATGAAGAAAAAGAATCAGCTCAGTGCTTAAAGTAGCAAAGCCAGCTAAAGTTAGCTAAATGGGAGCTAAAATGAGCAAAACATTTAACATCACCTAAAATTTGTCATTTTATTAGCTGATATAAGCATGACAGCTAAAGGCTAAAACGGTAGCTAAACTCCTGTAGAACAAAAGCTGAAGTTTGCGAAGCAGCAGCTAAAAGCTAAAAGTAGCTTAAGAACACAATAATGAATTGAGTTTGCTAGTGCAGATTTAAAGATAATAAATATTTTTGAGGAGATTGAAGAGTTCTTCAGCAGTTTTATGGATAAACAAAGTAAAAAAGCTAAAAGTGAACACTCCTCAACCAAGCCGAACATTTTGATAAGCAAGTAATTAAAACAGAAAGTCTTCAGCTGCGGTTCGTTTCTAACAAACGAACAGAAGAAACTAAAAAAAAACAGGCAACGCTGACTCTGCAGTTTTTAAACCCCCTCAGTAACATTAAAGGTTCTGCCAACTTTTTATCCAAGTTAGATTCTAAACTGGACCCGACTGGAAACAATCGACGTGCGGCCGTTACTCACAGAGCAGAAAGCTGAGGAGAGGTCAAAGGTCAGCAGGGAAAATCCTGTCAGGAGCGTAAATATGATGCATCTGAGGTTTCAACGATTCCTGGCAGCAGTTTCTCTGATCTGAAACAAGGTTTTCTGATGAAGAAACACGTCTGCTGCTCAAACCATCAAAGAACAAATCAGATCTCATGTTTCTGATATCAAACGTCTCAAAAGTCCTGAAAAAAATAATCAGATTTTTATCCACTTGAAGCCTTGCTGATGATGAATCTATGGACTGTGAGGAAAATAAAATGCAAATGTGTTCACATTTTTTATGCATTTTAAATATTTAATAATAAATTAGCTGTTTATTAAAGAAATGTTACACTAAAACTACATAAATCATTATATTTGGTCTAATTTTAGTCACAAAATGTTGTTTTAATAGTTTTAAAGGTAAAAGCTGCAGCATGACTCATGTTTAAAGAAACTATACAAATACAGAGATGGGAGGGGACTATTTCCTGCAGAGGGAAAATGCTTCATCCCTGTTGTCTCTCCTGTCCTCCTCCAGCTCCTCCTGATGGTCTCAGCCCACTCAGAAACACAAACTGGACTTTCTTTGCTTCCAAACATGATAAAGACGACGCAGCTTCATGAAGACGTAAGACGGGAGAAATGAAAAGTTGTTTGAATTTTATTATATTCATTTAGGATGGATGGAAACAGGACATTTTATTTTGAAACATTAAAAGTATTTGAAGTGTATTCAGCGTCACGTCGATCTGAAGCTACACGTTTTTGATAATATTTGCATAAAATTAAACTTTTTCCTACTTTTACCAGAAAAAAACAACTTCTAACCCACAAATTTAGATTTTATTTTGGTGGGAAAATTATTATTTTAATTAAATGTGAGATTTAACAGATTCAGAATCTTCGTTATTATTTAATATTATATGTTTTAGAGGCAACATGTCAATTATTTATTTGTTTTCTAACATAAAAATCCCTATTAAAGAGGGCAGCTGTATATTGAAGAGGCCGCTAATTGTTTTTTACAAAATAAAAAAATAAATAAAAACGTTGCTTTTTAAACAAGCCTATTC